GCCTGGTCCTCCTCCCTCAGGCCTGGTCCTCCTCGCAGGGAAAGACCCTCTGTCCTCTCTGGCCAAAGCAACAGACAGGACGTTCATAAAGCTGAGGTCTCCCCCTAAGTCTCTAATCATCCATCCTGTGAATATGAGAGGGGAACAAATAGTGTAATAGATGCTTTGGACAATAAGAAATATAAAGTTAACTGTTGAGTTGCTCAGTTTTTAATAATACAAACAAAAGGAGAGGCACCGTAAAATAAAGATTGGTCTTTCAATAAATTGTGTTGATTTTGTCTTTTGAATTGTTTGTGTAAAGTCAAGTAGCTAGAACTGTTACTTATAGTTTGAATGATACAGTCTGGTTATAATGTTTGGAGGAGGCATCACAGGTAAGAGCACCATTTGTTGTGTTCCATCCACAACAGATTGATGTGTGTGTATTTATTTATCTACTATTTCTTGAATCATTACTGTCAGTCCAAAACAAGAGATTTTGTTTTAGTAACATGTTTTTAAAACTATCTCTTTTCCACTACACTATCTTGAATATTTTAGTGTTTACATCACTTCATTTATCTAACAGCTTTAACATTGTAAAGGTGTCACTTCGGTCTCTGGGTAATTATGACAGCATGTCCTACTATTTTGAGTGTTTGAACAAACCAGACCTTGATTTATTAATGTAGAAAATAGTCAGCACATTAAACCATTATGAAAGTAATCATTAGCTCATGGTTCAAAATGAACTACAACAGTTAAGTCAACTCTTGCATCGGTAATAACAATAAAACAAATGATATAATAGTATAACTTGTGTCTACTTTAAATACTTCAACAACACTTTCCTAATTATACTAGCATACTTTTACTAAAGTAACATTAACATGTTTAAACGCAGGGCTTTTGTAAGAGTATTTCCTATAGTGTGGTCTACTTGACTTATCTAACCGAAGTGATCGTAACGTTACTTTGCAAACCGTCACCCCCCCCCCCCCCCCCCCCCCCCCCCCACCCCACCCCACTACGGAGCTTCCTAACAGCAAGGCACAAGGCTACTTCACTCATTTAGCTAGCTAATGTAAGATACAAATGCTGTCGAGCCCTCACTGCTTGTAAAATAAAGAGCACAAACTGACTACTTACCCGAGCAGCGAGCCCCACTGTTCTCCGTAATTTTTCTCCCAGGTTGTTGTGATCACATGACTGACAAAGCCGTGCTCTGATAGGCCAGAAGTCGGGTTGATTGCATTAGGGCTCGATTGCTTATCCTGTCTGAATAGCCCGGATGATGCTGCATCGCAATTTTGGACATCGAATTTTATACACCGAATTTTTTGACGAATTTTTTTCACTTGAATTTTTGGGATCTGAATTTGAACATTCGAATTTGTTTCACTTGAATTTTTACATTTTTATTTCACATAGGTAAATTCGGAGCAAAAACATTCAGATACATGATTTTCAAAGTAATTATTTTCAATGCTATAAATTCGGTGTCTAATAAAATTCAAATACTTCTGTCTCTTGTTTGCTTCCATAAAGGATACCTTGATGGTGGCTGTTAAGAGAAGCTAGAGAGCCACTCACGAAGCCAATCTAGGGATTCAAACTGTTGTTCTTGCATCAGAGGGCTGTTATCTACCCAGAGGAGAAATCAGCTTTAATTAAAAATCACTCCTACAATTTCATCCGGCTTCCCATTCACTGTCAGAGAGCTTAAGTCATCATGGATCAGATCAAAACATGCATGTGGGCGGATGATCGTGTCCCCAAGTTGTTTCAATAGTTTGTCACTGGAATGTTCTGGAGAGTTTTACAGACAGGGCAGCACACTGAGATATACATCAGTAACCATGACCGCAATATGCCTGTATTAAACCCATCAATACTTTATGTTTGCACTTCTATAAGGAACTGAAGAATCTCTCTGACCTTGCCGTGTTTGCTTGCAGCGGTGTTCAAAGAGGACTCTCAGCCTCTACACACACCATATTAACCAATATAGTGCACAAGGTGTTATATTGACCATATGGTCCATTATGTGTTGTTGGGCTGTTCTGATGTGAAATTTCCCAACATGAAAAATCTATAATACCCTACAGCTAGACAGATGCGCTCAACTGACGAACAGGATGAGATGGCAGAAATGTGTGATGACAACTTTTGCTTGTTGTGAGACTTTTGCTGTGTCTGTCCCACACTGTGACCAGCTGGCTGGAGTGACAGGCAGACGTTCAGTCACGACCTTTAGGTGTCAGTCTCATCACATAGTCCTTCAGACTTGCCCAGACTGTACACAAAATCAATATGGCACACAGGAAACACCGAGCTAAGGCAGATCGTTACAAAGCTGACCAGTAAGACACTGTTTGGGGTCTATTATTTTCCTTTGTGCTGCACAACGCTCCATGAATCTGACTCAGACTGAATCTCCAGGTGAAACAAGCAGTACGCCATGTTACTCATACTGGCACTGAGTAATGACTCACAACTCTTTTCTGGAACCTGTAACTTGTTACCTGATCTTTTGTAGTTTGCTGCAAACTTCACTACTTTAATACACTTACCAAAACCTGTTCCAGCAACAATACTATACTCTTTTCTTGCTTTTGAATGTAATATTTTGTATATACGTTGGTGCATTGAACTAACCTTCTTGTTAACCTCACTGTTCTAATAATTTCAAAAACAGCATCCATCGCAAACACTCTCTGATACTTCTATAGGATTAAATGTCCGTGTTTATTGTATTTCACCATATCAAATACACCTTCAATAAATATAAATCATTGATATAATAAATTATAAAAAGTCATTTGGCATGATGTGCTGTGTAGTGCAGAATCACATCTTTATTGATGCGTGCATGTAAACCATTGTTTTGCGTACAGTATAATGCACCTCTTTCCTTCATTTGTCACACTGCAGACAATGCGGCACACGAGTGAACTGAATAGACTTAGTGGCAGGATGCCAACGTTTTAAATGAACTCTTGCACCGGCCAAGGCCCATTCAAATATGTGATGGTAAAGAAACGTTTCAGTGCACTTACTCGGACTGAGAGACAATTGATGCAAAAACGTATTACCCATACTTTCTAATTAGAAGCCATCCATTCGTTGAAGAATTTGGGGATTTATTAATTTATACAAAAGCTTAGTCATCCGGAAGATTACATGGTGTCCACTTTTACAGGCACATATCATTAAATCATAACCTGATGCTGTAAAATATGTACAAAACTACAGTATATAGCAATTATATCAATACACTGCTGTGATTTTATTACAAGTCCATCAAAACTGGACTCAACTCTTGCAGCTTAAGAACATCATGTGAAATTCAGAATACCTGAAAACACATCTACAGCTCCAGTTGTATAGCTCTTACTATTAAGTACATGACAACTAAGCCAACTCTGAATTCTGATTAAGATCATTGATATGGTTGAAAGCCCCAGAATAGCACATAAATCCACCTTAAAGGTGGGGTAGGTAAGTTTCAGAAACCGGCTCGAGTGCACTAAAATTTGAAAGTACACAGCCGAAAAGAATCCGCCCCTTCCTTCAGACTTCCTTACAGAGCACCTCCTCCAACACACATGAACGCGCACATGACGTCCGCAGACTGGTGAAAGTGGCCGCCTGTTGCTGGCGAGTCATTGAAGTACTGCTGCAATGCACGCCCAATGACGGCACGCCCAATGAGGGCACGAGATACATTTGTGCATGCACGAGATGGAAGGCTGACAGACAGGGCGGTCGGCTAAACGGATTGGTTGTGCTTTTTACAGTATTACGGCTTCCACAGATGACATTTTTTTATGGATTTTTTGTCAAAGCACTTAAGATATTCATTGCTATCGGGATGTTAAGAGCATTCCATGGAATATAACAAAAAGTGTATCTCGAGCCGGTTTCTGAAACTTACCTACCCCACCTTTAAGCAAAGATTATTTGTTCTCAACTAAACTGCATTTAATATGTACAAATGACCAAGCTGAAATAAGTTGTATGTCAACAGCAACATTAGCTTTCATTGTGAGTAATCTTTCTCTCTACCTGGCAAATGTAGGTCCAATATTCTTTCTCTTTTAGCTCTGTTTTTGCTCTCTACCATCTCTTGAGGGAAATGTCTGACTCCTTAACTGCTAAATGCCTCAATATATTCACCAGTTAGGCACTTACTGTGTCAGTCTGCTGTTTGATGCTGAGCAGGTAGTATAGTTTGTGAGCTTTAAGACCTTTTGTTCTAAACAAAAAAAAAACTGTGCCTACCATGGCCAAAAGGATGCTGAGACAGTGAAACAATGAGCTGACACTGACTATAAAGTTATGTGAAGCTCAAGGTTGCTAAATTTTTTTTAATATACATAGCTACAAATCTTTGCATTTTAACATTACCAACATTTTCTACATTTGATCGACATTTATTGTAAAAGAGCCACTTTAAAGCATTAGTAACAGCCGTTGCATTGAGTTACCTAAACATGTTCTTGATGCTATAAAATGCAGCTCCAGTTTCACCAAAGAGGTGGCAACACTGCAAGTCTTTTATCATGTCTAAATGTCTGAATCTGAGGCTACAGTAATAATAGCATTGTAACTCTATAGCGGCACACTGAGATCTGTTAAAAGCGTGAACACCAGATACAGCACGCTGTCTGTGTATACGCTCGGATAGCTTTGGCTCCAGGGGAACACCAGTCAGCAGGATAAATGACTTTGGCAAAAAGATTCATTACTCCGCATTCATAATTGACTATTACAGAATATGCGATTAAACACCATACATAAAAGCATTCACATTTTCTTCTACATATATTTGTCAACTGAAAGCTATTAATTATACTCTGGGTGTTATTCATCTCAGTTACAGCTCAGATGTTGTGGGTTAGAATATTCTTCTGGGCTTTCGTAGAATATCAAGTGCTTCGTTTTTCTGTAAATATTTACTCTTGATATCTCGAACCAGCCCAACAACTATATTTCAACACAAATCGATATCTTACCTTGCCTTTATCCCTCATGGACCCTTTGCCGAGGATTGACATCTTGACTCCCGTCTCCTCCTGTAGTCGTTTCATGGAATTTCCCCGTGGTCCCAGCAACTTTCCGACAAAATTAAACTGTGACACAGGAGAAAAAAAAGCAATCAGACGCCTTATCAACGCTTCCAACATTATGTATAGGAAGACGACAAAATGGAAAAGACATGTTTTTCTGAAGAGAGTCTTTATGTGTCGGAAGCTAAAGGAATTTAATACATTCGTGAAAAGGTTAACCATAAAATATGTCGGCTGCATGACCATTACTCAACTTTTATCAATATAATCTCCCATTCCAGTCGCCATTTATCATGCGAGAAAAATCTGCAGCCTATGATAAATCAATAGAAATGTGCTCTGTGTGTAGCACATTAAATGGGAGTGGGACTCGTATGCACCCACACATTTGCTTGAACTGTGCCCTGGCTAGTCGTGTATTTAATAAGGGTCATCTATGTCGTGCCGAGAAAACGAGAAAAGGAAACATGGGCTCAAACCAATAACATTCCTGAGACTGTTCCAGAGGTCAGTGCTGAGATAAAGTCAGTAATAATGAGTTTCTTCCCAATGGGAAATTAAGTAATACTATCCAGATGACAAACTATCAGATTCAGGCCTCGGGGCTCTGACTATCATTCCCCTCTCGCTGTACCCCAGCTAGTGTTCACATTGAGAGAAGTAGCTCTGGGTGGTTGAAGACGCAACAATGCTAAGATTAGCGGTAATTAATCTGAGAGATGAGACTCACATCTGAAGTCAAATGGGTAGTTTCTGAACAAAATACGAGCAAAAGATCAATTAAGCAACACGATATTTTTTACTACTTAAAATACGGCCATAAAAGTTACGTGTACCAGCTCACACACTCTTTTTTTTGTATTATTGTGAATGGTTTGACCTTCAAATGTTAGCTTCTAGATGAGATGATAAGAGCCCACCTCCCAGGCTGAACAGGTGGTCAGCCGCCCACCACAACACACTGGCCAACCCTAAAATGATATTAACCTTTTCACGAAGCGGCTTCTCCCACTGTGGCTGGCTGGATAATAACTTTAGTGCCAGCTGTGTGGCTGCTGCAAGACAACTCCGACAACTGCACACTCAGCTCATTTCATGAACATCATTAACATCAAGAGTGAGCGCTACATCTCAGGTTAGGGAGCCGCCTGGGGACGCGGAGATGAGAGCATCTTCTAAAAAAAGAGAAAGAAGAGTCCCTACTGTCCTTGGCTGTCCTCTGATCTGAATGATTAAGGCACCTACGTGGACGCCTTTCTTCACAGGGGTTGCTTTGACAGGACTATCCTATAGCTGACAGGGAGCTTGAGAGCAGATGGTCGCTGCAGCTAAGTCGAGAACGCGCACTGGGCGGTAGAAGAAGAGTGGCCTGTTTTCATTAAGCTAATGAATGTCTGGAGCCACTCTGCTGCTCCATGGCGAGCGATTTAGGCTTCAGAAAGGGGCATGGATCGGTGTTAAATGAGGTTTGAAATGATGCAATGTGCCCCCCGCAGGCTCGACACTGATAACTATGCAGATATTAGATGGAAGTGTGTTGGTGGATACAACAATTACCCACAAAGACATTTGAGACATTGAACAAAAAGTGATGAAAGTTAATTTCATCTACTTATTTGTACTTCTAAAAGTGTCATTTCTGCATGAAGGACAAGTACAAGATACATTTGAATGTATTAATCTCCATATTCATTCTGAAAAGTAATTTTAATGAAGTTCTTTGTTCAAGTCTACAGGGCTTTGAGCAGGAGGTGAAGGTTGAGTCACGTCACACTAATGTAAATCTGCAAACCTGCTAATTCATCTGAGCAAAGGACTTTCCACAAGACCCTCAGTGAATGAGGACTGTTGTATGTTGGTGTTTTGAAGAAAATTATAATCTTTGAAAATCTCACAATGGACAGGTATCATGGCCTTAAGAGCTCAATGCATTGCAACATAATAAAACATCTGCAAATGGACAAGAATTCATACCCCATTTTGACAGAAAATATCCACCGTGATGAACCCAAAGCAAATACAGAAAACACAACCAGATACAAAAACCCTAGCCAAATACAGAAATGCCCTGCATTCAGAGAAAATGAAAGCAGTTATTTCCATAAAACCATTCATGCTCACACCTACGGGCAATTTAGAGCTGCCGATTAAATAATCTGCAAGCATTTTCATTTATTCTATTTATTTATTCTTTATTTACTTTAATAATTTTGTGCTGGAGTCAGGTTGCATAAATGACATTGGTTTAAAACATCACATACTGTAAAGCAAGTCTGCACATTTACAAGTCAGGGTTATTTTATAGGTCATTGTGGGTATTCTCCGTATACTGTACATTTTCTCTAACTCTGATTGAGACTTTTTGAAGCACACAGACTTATCGTTTTCCTTTGAACCTGTGATGCCTCACAACAGCCCTGAGCGGGACCTTTTTAATATTCATTAAGACTTTGGCGAGTAAAGTCTGGCAACACTGTATGGCTTATCTTATACATTATGTAAAACAATATAACCACTGCTGTCTTAGAGATGATTTATTTATTTGTTGAAAGAAACCCTGTTTCTGCTGCAGGCTTAAGCATTCTATCTTTATTTCATACCACGTAACTATAGGTTACTTACGTAACCCCAGTTCTCAGAGTAACATGAAGTGAGATGTCTCACTATGGGATGCGCCTCAACGCGTATGCAAACAGAAGCATCAATCTCATTACGCCAATCCTGATTGGCTGGTGATCTTGACGTCAACGTCAGGGAATCCACCCACCCACCCACCAGTGAGATGTCTCACTATGGGATGCGCCTCAACGCGTATGCAAACAGAAGCATCAATCTCATTACGCCAATCCTGATTGGCTGGTGATCTTGACGTCAACGTCAGGGAATCCACCCACCCTTTAAGTAGCTTGCGCTACGACGCAGCGTCATTCAAAATAAGCACCTCTTCTCCCTTCGCCTTAGCAAGAAGGGCCGTCTGGTGAGACATCTCACTTCATGTTACTCTGAGAACTGGGGTTACGTAAGTAACCTATAGTTCTCATTCATAACACTCCGTTCGATTTCTCACTATGGGATATTGAAACTCCCGTATTGCTGGACATGCTTATCTCGAAAATCACCAAAACAACCAGAACTTAACAGGTAGAACCCTGTCTCAACACGGGGCCCAGCACTGCGCGGGCCACACTTGGAGCAGAGACATCTAGCCTGTAAAAGCGGACAAAAGTGAGCGGCGAGGACCAGCTCGCTGCTGCACAAATGTCTTGGATTGAAACACCCTTGAACAAAGCCCAGGATGTAGCCAGTGCACGAGTAGAATGAGCACGCAGGCCCGTTGGTGCCTGCAAACCCTGACTCGTATAAGCCAGAGCAATCGCTTCCACAATCCAGTGGGAGAGCCGTTGCCTGGTAACGGGCTTGCCCTTCTGAGGATTAGCCCAGGATATAAAGAGTTGGTCATTACAACGAAACTCTTTTGACCTGTCCATATAGATGCGTAAAGCACGAACTGGACACAGCAAATTCGGCCGCTGTTCCTTAGAGGAACACAGCAGCGGAGGAAATGCCACAATGTCAATGGGGGTACATGAGCCAACCACCTTAGGTATAAAGGCAGGGTTGGGCTTCAGCAACACTCTCGTTTGCCCCGGGGCAAACTGAGTGCATGAAGGATGTACAGAGAGCGCATGAATGTCACTGACTCGCTTGGCAGATGCCAGAGCCAGTAACAGCACTGTCTTCAGTGACAGGTGTTTCATGTCAGCTTCTTCCAGGGGTTCAAATGGAGGTCGAGTGAGCCCATCTAAAACCACTGCCAAGTCCCATAAGGGCACCAGTGACCTGGAAACAGGGAGGAGCCTGCGAGCCCCTTTCATAAAACGGCAGACCAAAGGATGTTGGCTAGCCGTCTTTCCCTCAATGCCCACATGGCATGCAGCAATAGCAGCCAGGTAAACTTTGATCGTAGAGAAAGCTCTGTGTTTATCAATTAAGTCCTGTAGAAATGATAAAATCACCCCGACAGGACATTGAAAAGAGATGTGTCCTTTTTGAAGGCACCACTCCTCAAACACCCTCCACTTACAGTCATAGAGAGACCTGGTGGAGGAAGCTCTTGCACTCTGAATAGTGTTTATCACCTTCTGAGGGAGCCCCACTGTATTCAGATTGTACCACTCACGGGCCAGGCCCATAGTGCCAAGCGCTCTGGGTGTGGGTGAAAGATCGTCCCCCCGCCTGAGACAGTATGTCCCTGCGTAGTGGGAGCTGCCATGGCTGCCCGCGCAGCAGCTGATATATCTCCGCCAGCCAGTACATTGCAGGCCAGTGCGGAGCTATCAGGATAAGTGTGTGGCGTTGTTCTTTCACTCTGGCCAGAGTTGGGGGTACCAGAGCCAGGGGTGGGAACGCGTACAGAAGGACTGGAGGCCAAACGTGCGCGAGCGCGTCCAGGCCTAACGGTGCGTTTAAATCGCGCATTGAAAAGAACAGCTGACATTGAGCATTTTATTTTGATGTGAACAGATCTACCGCGGCTCGGCCGTAACGCACCCACAGCTGACTCACAATTATTGGATGTAAAGTCCAGTCTGCATATAGTGGTGCACCTCTGGACAGCAGATCTGCCCCGAGGTTCATCACTCCTGGTACGTGCGTCGCTCTCAGAGAGAGGAGACGTTCGCAGCTCCATAAGATCAGTTTGCGTGCCAGCATGTGTAACTGGAGAGAACGCAAACCCCCTTGGCGGTTTATATACGATATTGTGGTCGTGTTGTCTGTCCTCACGAGGACATGATGTCCTCTGAGAAAAGGCAGAAAGCGTTTCAGGGTGAGGAACACCGCTAAAAGCTCCAGATAATTTATGTGTGACCGTTGGAGGTCTCTGCTCCAGAGACCCCTCACAGGTCGACCTTCGTATATACCCCCCCAGCCCGTCAGACATACGTCTGTGATGACCACCTTCCGCAATAGGACAGCACCCATAGGCACGCCCCGTACTAGAAAAGTCGGGTGTAGCCAGTGGCGCAGTGCCATTACGCATTTCAGAGTGACCATCACTCTCC